TACTACTACTTCTACTTACTACTACTACCACTACTACTACTGCTACTAGTTCTACTACTTCTACTTGTACTACGACTGCCAGTATGGCTGCGACAATGAGGCTGCGACTTACTGCGACCACTACCACTACTATACTGCCACTACTGCTACTGCACCCCACAACCGCTACGAAACTGCTACTTCTGCTTTTGAAGCTACTGGTGCTGCTACGGCAACAACAACTGTAAATTTAAAGTATGACGGGCTTCTTCTTCCGCCTTTCTGCTTCTTCCTACACCTCGTCATTACCATCATCAGGCATCACTGCCATCTCATCATAAAGGCAACTGTTGCCTGAAGATTTTGTCACCTTTTCAGATGTTTTCTGGGCAGTCTCACCCTTGGTTCAGTTTAACTTGGATCCGTGCAGGGTTTCCTGGTCTGCGGCTTTGGCATGTGTGGTGATGAGATTTGCTTATAATGCGGTGGGTCTCGACTTTTCACCCTGAACTTTTGTTGGTTGCCGGAACACAACGACAGTTTAAGTTGCACAGCTGATGTGCTTTTTGGGGCACCTGTTTTCGGTGAAAAGCCTGTGGTGCTGTAGCGAGCTGTACTGGTCTTATCGTTTACAGGTCTTCTGACTGACAGCTTGCTTGAACGCCGGCCAGGTACCGTGATTCCATACACAGCTCTTTTCCTTGATGACATCATTGACAAGCTGGGACCTCGAAGTTTCTCTTGGCTCCGTGGGGCCTTGGCAGGCGTGAGCCCTTCAATACTCTGACAGACGTGATCCAAAAGATACGCAAATGGCTGAGGCCAGGACCGTGCCACATCTTCACCGAACAGCCTCAGCCTCAGAAAATACGAGCGACTGCTCCATTTGAGGTGTCATTGACTAGTAACTAGACATGTATGATGGAGGGCACCGACAAATTCTCTAAAAACTAGCTTCCCGGAGCCAATCATTGCCTGGTTCCAGCATTGCTGGTGTGTGTGACTGCGTGCCACCATGCTGGGCCCTTATGTTGCGGTTTTTGTCGGAAGGCCCTCACCCTCATCGCACATCAGGCCTCTGCTGAAATGGACCTGGGATGAGACCTACGATGAGGCCGGCGATGCTTCAGACGAATGGTTCCTCTTACTCGCGATGCGCTCTTGCCAGGCCTATGAGAAGCCCAAGGGTGCGGCGCCCCAGACTTCTGCAGAAAAATCGATCTTCCTCGTTGAGAGAGCACCGGGCTACCGGGGTTGTCGCCAGACCCAGGGGATCGAAAACGGCTCTTTCGTTTGCTGAGTCGCAAGTGTGACCAAGGTGCCAAATGATGGCAAGCTTGATGCTGCCTGCTTATCCGCCCTTTTTGATCGACATCGAGCGATGAACGACATTCCTGCGGAACGTGGCCCTTTCTGAAAGATAGCCGATATGTTTGAAGCCTGCACAGAGCTTGATCACAAAACGGCGCCCTGAGTTGCCTTATATGCAGCCTCGGCTGATGTTGCGAGCTGGCTGTTCCTGCGTCTTCAGAGCAACCCTGGCACCTTCAAGCACTGGAGCTTTGCTTTGCGGCAGCTCCTGCTCCTTCTAGAGATTCTAGAGGCAGCTCCGGACTGCCACGAACCGCGAGAACGCGACGACGGCTGCTGTTTTTTTGCGACGACCACTCTGCTACGGCCTCAAAGCAGCAACTACAATCATGGCATATCATTGCAGCTGCGTTTGCTGCGTCTGCCCCTTCTGCTGCTGCTGCTGCTGCTGCTGCCGTTGATGCTATTTCAGCGACGACGACAACGATAACGCTCGACTCCGGCGACGACCACCACCACTGTATCAAGAACTGCCGCACCTCCAGCCATTGTTGCTCGTTCACACTTGGAATCTTTGCCATGTCGGCTCGAGGCGGTGTAGTAGTAGTGCAGGGCCCTCCTGGCCCCCAGGCGTGGAGTTTCAAACGTGGGATTTGCACGGGCTCCCTTCTCCTGATGGGTTTTGGGGCTTTACGATTCCACGCTTGGCCATATCTCGACAAATTTGCAGGCCGGTGCTTCTCCCACGAGAAGTCACCGGGACGACCTCAGACAATGGCTCCGAGAAGAAGAGCCGGGGCGGAGGAGGAGGAGGACGAGGTGCGGCAGAGAGTTGAGTGTGAAGGGCACCGGGAAAAGTCAAAGTCAGAGCAAAACGATGGCAGTAGCAATTTTAGCAGGTACCGAAAGAGGTGTTCGGCTTTTGATACTAATGCATCAGACGAGAAGTTGGCTTGGGACGTGGCTGACTGGGAGTGTTCTTCTGCGATCTTTTCATTAGGCGCGCATCAGACACCTCTGCAGGTTACGCGCCTGTCAACTACAGGATCTGGCATGTTGCTTCTTCTTTCACAGAATACCTCTCCGCAGGGTAGTTGCAAGGGATATAGCTCCTGAGGGCAGGCCTCATGATAGGATCCTTTCGCACACGTTACGTACCTCCGCGGGTTAGGTGCCTGTCAACTAGAGGAAGTGGGATAATGTTGCTTTCTTTTTTCACGGGTTGACAACCTGGGGGGGAGACCTCCTGGACGTAGGCGTCATGAAAACATCCTTTGGCGCGTACCTCCCCACCCAAAACCCCGCCCCACTTCCAGGTTGTCTCCGCAGGTAGTCGTCATTATGAGGGTCTGTATCAGTTGACCAAAGATTTGAGCATGCTTCCGACAGGAGGACGCCTTCGGAAGCGCGGGCTCCCACATCTCCGACAGCGAGCCCAGCGAGGATCCTTCATCTTGTCCTTCCTTTTGGCTCGATGTTCAGGGCTTTGAAAATGTATGTCGACTACCGTCCTTGCGTTCTTAAGAGCTCCTGGAGATTTATTTGCATCGCAGCCTTCTTGTGCTGCTCCTCGTGCTTGTCTCCCTTGTTGCTTGCTTGCTTGGCGCTTCTGCTTCTGCTTCTTCTTGTCGTCGTCGTCGTCGTCGTTGTCGTCCTCGTTGTTGTCGTCGTCAGTCGCTTGTTGCCTCTGGCATTGGTTTTCGCTTGCTTTTGTGGTTCGTTGTTTACCGCTTTGGTTTGGAGTGTGCTGTTGGTGATGCTGCTGCGATTGCTCTGACGGCCTCTGCCCCGCCGCGCCGCCGCTGCAAACAGTTCTCCGGTGCCTATTCCTGCCGGCGTTGTTGCTGCAGATTCGAGCGTCTTCGGTTCGGATCGGAAAGCCTGAACATGTGGTTTGAGATTTCTGCGAGCAGCAGAACCGCATCACGATGACCCGCCTTTTGTATGGTGACTCCAGGACGAGAAGGAGAAGGCAACGAAGCCCGCGAAATCGTCCGAGGAAGGAGCGCCGCCAGCTGATTCGGCTAAGAAGGCTGGGCCAGAGACTTGCAGCAACGGCCGTGTAATTGCAATTTCCTTGTTGGTCTATGGTCTCAGAGTGATACGAGGTTGGATTGCTGTTTCAAGTGTGACAGATGCTACTGGCTACGCGAGGTGGCAGGGAAGCAACGCACCAGATTTCCCTTTTGGCCAATGCCAGAAAATACGATCCACACTCAACTTCTCAGTCCGAAACCGTGGCTGGAAGAGAATCTGAACTGGAACAGATGGTTTGTGATTTTGCCTTACGGACCTGTGGAGAAGCGCATCGTCTTCGATTGAAATTCTCGTGGTGCGTCAGTTTCGTGACAGCAATGGTGGGGGGTTGAATCGCGACAGCCTGAACGAGCTTCATTCCTAAGCAGACCTGTTGAGGAAGAAGTCGGCGAGGAAGCTGAGGAGGTCAACGCAGAGGCCCCGGAGGACGCTGAATGTGCGGGCGAGCGTGACATGCTAGCAGGGTTGATCAACTGAATCGTTTGTGCCGCCCGAGGATACCCAGGCCGAGGCACAGCCCGAGGCCAAGGAGACCCAGGAGGGCGAGGAGACCCAGGAGCCCCAGGAGGCCCAGGAGGAAGAGGCCGAAGAGGCCAAGGAGGCGCAGGAGGCCAAGGAGGCCAAGGAGGCCAAGGAGGCGCGGAGAAAAGCCAAAAAGGCCAAGAAGAAGGCCAAAGAAGCCGATGAGGCAGAAGAAGAGGAGGCTTATGAGGAGGTTGGCGCATGCCTTGGATATTGGTCGGTGCGTGTCGGTGCATCAGTGCTGACTTCTCGGGGCTGTTTCCTGTAAACCAAGATGAAGATGCAGATGATGCAGACGGAGAAGCTGTGCAACGCAGAGCCAAGGCCAGGCCCTGCAGCCTGCAGCCAGCTCCTTCGCTTGCAGCTCCGCCAGAAGAAGCACAGCGCGCACGCGTGCGTGTGTGTGTGTGTGTGTGAGAAAGGGCAAGAGGTGGACACTCCGTCTATATTGTGCACTAAACACCCAGATTCGTAGCCTGTGTACTCGGATGGCAGTTGCCGCAACAGCCAGTATGATGATTTCCAGCTGGAACTTCAGTAGACATTCTGCGCAGCCACCGCGATAAATCCAGGATGGTTACGAGGAGTCCAGGTACAAGGCCTGGGGTGCACAGCCTCCATCCTGACGGATTCGAGATTTTTGAAGCTGTCCTAGCACCACGTTTTGTTCCGCTCCGACTGGCTCTGCAAAGCCCATTATCCAAGGAAGCACGCGCTGTGCATTCTCATCACATCGTAACATGTTGCTGCAAACGCAGTCGATCTCTGCACCCCGCGCGCTCGGGGAACGAGGCAGACTGACAGCTCCGAGAGTGGAATCCTGGAGGGAAAGCCAGATCCGTTGGCCGATCGCGACAGTTTCTCTGAGCCTTCTTGCGGGCGACGGAAGCTCTCGGAGGCGGGCTTCGGTCTCGCGTGCCTCTGCGGCACGGCCAAAGCTCGGTCGAGAACGGGCTAACCGAGGCCAGCAGCCTGAGAAGAAGTGGCTCCATTCGATGAAGAAAGGCCAACGACTGCGAGGGACCGTCATAGAAATCTTAGACTCTCATGCTAGGCTTGATGTTGGGTTGGACACCATGGCGACACTTCACGCGAGCAGGATCCTGCCCGAAGGAGGACTGCTCCAAGAGGAACTTTCGATCGGGCAGGAAATGGAAGTTTGGGTTTGTGGAGTGCGGCCACTAAGCTATAAAGTCAAACAAGGCACCACCTGGAAGATCGATGCTCGGCTGGAGGTGACAATGCTCGATCCTGCCCAGCTCAGCTCGGACGTCACGGAGTTCGCACAGCTGCCGCCGAACGCATTGCTGGCAGCTACGGTTACCCACATAGAACCCTATGGAATCGTCGTGAAGGTCAAGTCGCCGACGGGTGCTGTGCCTGTGCAGGGCTTTGTTCATGTCTCCGAGATCTGTGAGGGTTATCTGGAGCATCCCGCTGATGAAGTCGATGTTGGCCAAGACATTACGGTGAGCATCGTGCGTATTGACGAGAAATTCGGCAGGCTGCGACTGACCATGAAGCTGCCGGAGGTCGAAGGTTACTGAGAGCGGACTCATGAGACCGGCCTGCCTGGAAGCCAAAAAACTGTGCGTGGCATTGCTGCACACTGCATATCTATCTATCTATCTATCTATCTATCTATCTATCTATATCTGTATATGCCTCGTTGCCCGCTTGGCGTCTGCTTGCATAGATCATGATATAACGGGGCACCTGAACTTTGTTGAGACTGTTCTTGTAAGAAGAAGCCTTTGCGTCAGGGGCCCGAGACAGCCGCAGCCTCAGACTGGCGACAACGGTCATGCAACATCAGGCACTCCAAGGAAGACGTGGCAACACTCTGTCGGGGTTTCAGGCCTTGAGGTTTTGTTGACAGCTTCTCGCAGTTGAGTCTGCGCATGCAGTGTGTAGGCGGTGTTTCTTGAAAGGGTGGCTTTCTAGGAAGCTGAATAGGCAGACAACTACTGCTTTCACACACGCACGCACAAATAGCACACATCAGCTCGAAATTCTGTGTGGGTACTGCATACAGTGCATCTGCATTAGAGCCACAGTTAAGTTCCTAGCTACCTACCTGCCTGCCTTCCTGCCTGCCTGCCTCCCTGCACCTACCCACCCACCTATTAGCTTCCCACCTTCCCGCCTTCCTTTTCCCATTTTCCCATTTTTCCACTTTCCCACGTTCCCACCTTCCCACGTTCCCACCTTCCCACCTTCCCGCCTTCCCGCCTTTCCGCCTTCCCATCTTCCCGCCTTCCTGCCTGCCCTGCCTGCCTGCTACCCACCAACCTACCTGCATTCGTCAACCCCTAGCTCAGGGTGGTGTCGTGGACTAGTTCAGGTTCCTCGGGACAACCGGTACTTCCTTCATGACGACCGGCAGGCCTCTCTCCAACGCATTTTTGTACGCATCAAGGGCTCTGAAAGCCCTGGGTGGACATCAATGGCCAGGTTAGCGGAGGTTCAAAATCGGGTACTGTAACGTCGATGAAGGGTTTAGTCTAACAGCTGATATGCTGACATGCTCGCAACTCGTCCAAGTGATGTGACTTGATGCAGCTCTCTGAAGGCAGATGATGAAGGCAAAGAAGAAGACGATGAGGCTTTTGGATTCGTTTGCACCTGTTGTGTGCTTCCTGTAGCATGCCTTGTTCTTTCTGCCCGCATGCCGCGTGAGGAGAAGAAGGAAGACAAAAAGGAAGAGCTGGCTGCATTATCTTAGTTGCTTTTCTTCCTCCATGTCTCTGCCTCTCTCTACCTCAGGCCACTCTTGCTCCCTCTCTTGCTCCCTCGCTCGCTCTGTCTCCGTCTCGGTCTCGGTCTTTGTCTCTTTCTATGTCGCTGCCCCTGCCGCTGTCTCTGTCTCTGTCGCTGTTGCTGTCCGTCTGTCTGTCGCTGTCCGTCTGTCTGTCCGTCTGTCTGTCTGTCCGTCTGTCTGTCCGTCCGTCTGTCTGTCCGTCCGTCGGTCTGTCCGTCCGTCGGTCTGCCTGTC